GGGAATGGCCAGCTTGACGTCACTTGTGTCGGGGTTGCTTGTAGTGGCCCGAGGGCTCTGCCAGCAAAAACAGGCTCCTGGGCTCTGTTTTCCATGCAATGGCCTCCTGCAATCTTCTGACAGTAAAAAGGGAGCTTGGGAGGGCCGCACACGGAGGGTTGCAGGAGGCCATTGCATGGAAAACAGAGCCCAGGAGCCTGTTTTTGCTGGCAGAGCCCTCGGGCCACTACAAGCAACCCCGACACAAGTGACGTCAAGCTGGCCATTCCCAAGTGACATTAAGCTGGCCATGCCCCCCCAGCTCCCTCCCCCCCGAGGTCAGAGTTTGACATCCCTGACCTAGGCCTATCCAGTTCCCATTCATTTAAAAAATGTGCCATGATCGTTGCTTGTAAAATGATCTATGTTTTCTACGGACACATACTGATCAAATTACCATCTCTTCTTGAGTTTATTGAAAGGTGTGTACAAAATTCAACAATCTCATTTAGAGTGAGCTAGCTTTTTAAAAAGATTAACCCTTGGTTTTTGAAATTAGTTTTTAAAAATCCAACATTTACATTGGGCCTCTAGATATAGATCTAGCTATGGCTACAACCGCTCCTGGGGTTTAGGAGTGGGTAAATTAAGGGAAAAGATAAACTATTGTTACCTGCTGTGGGATCCTCTTCAGGCAAAGCAATCAACGTGTAACAAGTACCAGGCTGATTGTAGAGCAAGCTTTTGGCAGGTATATAAGCAATGACCTCATATCCCTCCGTTGGCTCCATCTGCACTGTGACATTTTCCAGGATCTGATCATTCAGTGTATTTGTGCAGTCAAACTATCAGAAAAAAGGAAAGCACATCAAAATAAAACAAGACTTCTAGCATTAGAAAACCGAGGGTTCATTCTTTTAAAAAAGAAACAAGCAATGTTTGCCTATAGGTACAGGTAGTCCTCAATTTACAACAGTTCACTTAGTGACTGCCTGAAGTTACAATGGCATTGAAAAAAGTGACCTATGACTGTTTTTCACACTTACAACCATTACAGCATCCCCATAGTCATGTGATCAAAATTCAGACTCTTGGCAACTGATTCATATTTATGACGGTTGCACTGTCCCAGGGTCATGTGATCAACTTTCACGACTTTCTGACGAGCAAAGTCAATGGGGAAGCCAGACAACTGTGTCGCTAATTTAACAATGGCAGGGATTCACTTAATAAATGTGGCAAGAAAGTTTGTTAAATGGGGCAAAATTCATTTAACAAATGTCTCACTTAGCATCATAAATTTTGGGATCAATTATGGTCGTAAGTTGAGGACTACCTGTATATAGTCAGTGCAACTTCCAAAATTATCTTTTATGGCATTAAATATATTCAGCTAAAAATCTTCAGTTTACAAGATCTTTCTAGGAGGCAGTTTCCAGTATAACTAATAATTGTAAGTGTTCAATCTGCAGTATATTCATTTCTAAGTGAACAAATGTCCCAGTGAAGTTTAATAGTATTTTCAGAATGTCGTCGTCTTCACCTGTTATGCTTATTACAATCAATATAATTTCAGACTCCCTATAGAGTTATTAGCTGAACTGAAGGGCACATTTCCTTGGGTCTATCTACATTTGAATAATGCTAAAATTTTCAGTCTCTTTGGTAGAAACACTGCTGTGGAAGAAATTCCACTTGTTGAAGCCTCTGAGTATCACAGAGCCAAAAAAGAACTTCTGCTTATCAACTGATTTAATACTCTAGTCACAGTTTTAACCTATCAAGCTAAAGGAGATCTTCAGTCTCTAGAAAGCGTAATGCTGAAGAGTGAATACGATCTGAGAATTTATACAATATTGTTTAGTCCCTTTGCTTTAGGACAGCAACGAAGATAGATAGCCTTTGTTTCAATTTTTATTTAATTTTACTCCCTTTTGTTAAAATCTGGTTTAACAACCTGCATTCAAAGGTAAACAGGATCTGAGGAAATAAACCAGTGTTTAAAAATATGATTGGTTTTTCCTAACCCTACTCTTTCTTTGAATGATTCAAGTAACCTCATTTAGATGGAAACAAAACAGAATTATTTTCAATCTTTCTTTTAGAGCTGCATTGGAGAATTACTGTGAGCCTGAGTTTTATTCCTATAATATTAGCTGGTTGTGCAATGTTACAATCAGGTAATACAAAAGAATACAAAAGTGCAACAAAATGCATAAAGTGTAGCTAAAGAAATAATTATTTATTGATATTATACCAATATGGTGTAATATATGTACCTATATTCCAGCATATCAGTGAGATTAACTGTGCAAATGCTTTTTTCAACACCACTTACCTGGAATACCATGTGATTGGAGAACGTGTGCTTTGTACAATAGATCACATATTCTGTTTCTAATTCCGTAAGTGCCTCTGGCTCAGGAGAGGACTTGAACAGTGGGCCAAGACCCTGGAACTCTGGAATAGCAGCCAATTGCTCTAAAAGGCAGCAAAACAAACAAACAAACAAAAAACCATACACAGGTTTCTGTTTAATATAATGACTATATTTCTATAGAGATAAGTGTAAAAGGAGAAAGTTTTCAGATTACATCTGGTAGGTTCAATGTCGAAAGACTTTTTCATATGAATAAACAGTAACTTAAAAAAAATACAGCTTTCCCAAGAATGTATGCTGAGGATCTATCTCCAATATGAATCGGATTTTTCTAAGTCAATTCGTTCTGTGCTAATGTCATTACTACATTATATACTTTTGAGGTAGTACTTTGTGTTATTCAATATAGTTATTAAAAATTGAAGGTTTAGAGTTGACACTGATTCTTGTTTGAATTATTTCTGGCTTACGGCAAATATCTGGACAACTCCCTTTTTCATAAGTGGTTTACCCTTGCCTTCTTTCTAAGGTGAGAAAGAATGACTGTCTCAAAGTCACTCAGTTGGCTTCATTCTTAAGGCAGGATTAGAATTTAAAATTTCTCAATTTTTAATCTGCTGTCTTAACCAAACTAGTTCTCCTATTGTTGGAAATTAGTAATATGGGGAAAATTCATTTCCTACCAGCTATGGACTGAAATCTACATTAAATATAGAAGTTCTTAACCAGAAGTATAACTGGAAGATCCTCAGTTTAGAAACTTTTATAAAGGAAATAAGATTCCAGAAATCAAAAAGGTTGAATGGAGAACAAAATAACATCCTGCATTGTACTTCATTTTATACAACAACCAGTGGAAACAAACCTTGGAATATATCTTGTCGGGTTGTTGCTATTTTCTCTAACTGCTTCACTGTAGAGGTGGGAGTGTTTTCTGTGGAAGGGCAAGAAAAACACAGTTAG